GGGCCCCGACCGGGAATCGAACCCGGGTCTCTGCAGTGACAGTGCAGTGTCTTTTCCCCTAGACCACCGGGGGCTCCCAGTTAGGACTAAACTATTGAAAAAAAAAAAAAATATATATAAATCCACATCTACTAAAATCGTTCTTATATCCAATTTTACTTGAGAGTACATTTTCTTCCAACATTTTTATTACTGTAGTATATTATATTCCAACTACTTCAAGAAGACCAAGCAATGAAAAACAAAAATGAAAATTTAAATTTTTGCTTTTTGATAAATCATAGAATTAAAGAATGGTTTGGGTTGGAAGTGACCTTGAAGATCATCTAGTTCTGATCCCCCTGCAATGGGCAGGGACACTTTCCACTAGCCAGGTTGCTCAAAGCTCCATTGAACCTGGCCTTGAACACTTACAGGAATGGGAGATCCACGACTTCTCTGGGCAACCTGTGTTGTTGCCTCACCACCTTCACAGGAAAGAATTTCATCCTAATACCTAATCTAAATCTACCTTCTTTCAGTTTCATAGAATCATAGATTATTCTGAGTTGGAAGAGACTCATCAGGATTATTGAGTCCAACTCCTGGCCCTACACAGGACACCCCAAGAGTCCCACCATGTGCCTGAGGGCACTGACCAAACACTTCTTGAACTCAGACAGGCTTGGTGCTGTGACCAGTTTCCTGGGGAACCTGTTTCAGTGCTCAACCACCTTCTGGGTGAAAAACTTTTTCCTGATATGCGACCTAACCCTCCCCAGACTCAGCCTCATGACATTACCTCAAGTCATGTCATGACTGGTCGGTACTTGCCACTCCACTTCCCCTCGTGTAGATGCCAAAGACCGCAGTGGGGTCTCCAGTCAGCCTCCTCTAGGCTGAACAAAGCAAGTGACCTCAGCCACTCCTCTTATAGCTTTCCCTCCAAACCCTTCACCATCCTTGTGGCTTTCTTTGGATGCTCTCTAATAGCTTAATATCTTTTATATATTGTGGTTCCTAAAACTACACTCAGTACTCAAGGTCGCACCAGTGCAGAGCAGAGCAGGACGATCCCCCAGTGCTTTTCCTGGTGCCCCCCCAGGAAATGGGTGGCCTCCCTGGCTGCCAGGGCACTACTGACTCATATTCAACTTGCCATTGAACAAGACCCCCAGGTTCCTTTCCATTGAACTGCTTTCCAGGATCTCATGCTCCAATCTGTACGTACATCTCGGTTGCCCCATCCCAGGTACAGAATCCTTGCCCTTGCACTTGCCCTTGTTCAACTTCATTTAGTTGGTGATTGCCCAGTCAAGGTCTCTCTGCAGGGCCTCTCTGCCCTCGAAGGAGTCGACAGTTCCTCCCAATTTAGTGTTGCCAGCAAACTTAGTATTTCTTCAAGTCCTATGTCCAAGTTATTAGT